TAGCAACTAGTTGGTTATTAATTCAGATAGTATGAAAAGCATTTACCAAGTAGGGCTAATCTGCTCCACGTTTGTATCGTAATTTCTCATTACTAATAAGAGTTCAGGTGGCTAATGGATTCTGCTCCTTTCTCTAGGTTTATTTCAATCTACAGAGGACCCAGCCACACCTACAAGGTCCAGAGACTAACGGAATTCACATGCTACTCCTTCAGAATCCAAGCAGCGAGCGAGGCTGGGGAAGGGCCCTTCTCGGAAACCTACACCTTCTGCACAACCAAGAGCATCCCCCCGACCATCAAAGGTTTGTGGACAGTGTCTTCGGTTATGCTCTCCTGTGAGAATGAGGAGATGTTGGGACTTAGAATGGGAGGCTCCATTCTGATCGTAAATATACTCTTCTCACATTTCACGTATCAGCAAGATAGAATCAAAAGAACTTTCTAAAACAGAAGGTTTGGCAGTGGGTTCTCTAGGGGAAATGAGAGGCCTTAAAGGAAAAGGGCCTACCAGTGATGACCTTCTCAAGTATGGTAAATGTTTATTACAAATAATTTAGTGGTGACGCAGTCACAGAAGATAGATGGACAAAGAAAAGAAATGGACCTGAGTGACAGGTGTCGGGTTAGGAATGGGGGTGAGCTCCTGGTGGTAGTGCTTTGGGCGGTTCACCAGGGGAGGTGTGAGTATCTCCCTTCAGGGGTTGGCATGCATCTTTGGATGCCCGTGGTGCAAGTAGAGACTGAGGTGGGCAGGGTCCACAGCCCTTCCCCCACTCGAAGGCCGCAGCAGGGGCCTGTCCTCATCTCCTGGGGCATTTGTCTTGAGGTTTGTGAGTGACTGGTTTACTCTCTGCCCCCTTCACGGGAACAGGGAACAGGGAGTGAGTGAAAGCCAGTCACCCAGGTTCTCCCTCCACCGGGTCTGCTGAGCCCTCATCTCCCATTTTCAGCCAAAGTTCTGCCTTATGCACAGCAGACTGTCAAGGCCGGGCAGCCAGCAATAGCCGGGGCTGGCTGGGCCCTTCCCACCCAGCCTTGGCCCAGGCCCAGCCCCCCACGGACTCCAGAGCCTGTGCCTCCCTCTCCCCAGGAGTGGGACGCTGGCGCAGGTCCCTGCTGCCTGTCTGCATTATTCCAGCTGCTGCCCAAAATGATTCTGAGGCTGACAGATAGACAAGCCGCCCACCTGAACCAGGTCTTACGTGGGGTATAGTGAGGGTTGGCTACTATGTGGGTGGCTAGGCAGTGAGCACAGATTGTTGAAAAGGTTCCTATGTATCTGGCCTCAGGAGCAAAGCCGTTGAACTCACTGCCTCCACACAGAGGAGCTGTCAGCCCCCTCCGGGGTAGAGTCTGTTAAGGAGGGTGCAAGGCCTCCAGGACCCGGGTCAGAGTCTGACTCACTGTCTGGCTTGCATCCTGTGAAGGTTCCCGTAGCTCCTTCCAGGGTACTTAATGGTAGATGCCGCCCCCCTGCTTCCCTGCCCCTCAGCAGTCCAGAAGCTCTGGCAGCTGCTGTTCCGTGTGACTGAGATACTAGTGTAAATGGATGTGCCTGTGAAAGGCGTTCGGGGTCACCTGGGCAGGAGGTGCCCTGGCGCTTTGTGCAGCTCCGTCTTCCAGCTGTAGCAGAAGAGATTCCTGAACACACTGGCTGCTGGGTTTGTTGTTGTGGCAGGAAGGTTTGCTACATTGACCAACCGGCTAACTTCAGAGATCTTTCTGGCACTACCTTTGCCTCTGAAAGTGATTGCTGGGGGAGTTGCATTTTGTTGAAAACAGAACATGAAATCCGTAGCCCTTGCATGTCGCGGTACGTTTTCTTCAGAAGGGCAGTTTCCTCACATGTGCACGTGGGCGGGTTGTCTTCCTCTCTCTTAGATTCAGGAAACTACTGTCTTAGCTAGAGGACTGTTTAGTCTGATGAGTCTTTAGTTTTTCCATAAATTGCTTCGAGTTTTGGCCAACTAATACCAATTTGTTTTTTCTTTTTAAGATTAAGTTATTTTTCTCAGAATTACAGGTAGAAATAACTGCCTCTAAAGAGTTCATGTAATTAGAAATTAGAAAGGAGTTACACATTCTAGTTAAAAATAGAAAAATATTATATTGAATTAAGCTGTAGAGATATATCATAAGCTATAAGAAAATATTTTAAAATTCTATAACATTTAAGGGCTTTACTGCAAACTACTATAATTTAGCTTTAAACCAGAATGAGGAGTGTCCAGTAGGTGAAAAATAAACTAAAAAAATGCAAATGTAAGCTCACTTTTAAAGGCTTATCTCAAATGTCACCTGCTGCTCAAACCCTCCTTAGACTCTCCCACAGGTGTGACTTTCCTTCCCTCCCTTAGAATTCCCCAACATGCTGTTTATACTGCATTTTGGTCTGCCTTACAGTTTTGGTTTTTTGGTCTGTACTTGTTTCATACCATTCTCACCCCTTCCTTCAACCAGGTCTTAATTTCCTTGAAAGTAGTATTTATCATACTTATTTTTGTATCCCCCAGAGAACCTAACAGCATAGGAGGTGCTCATTAGCCATCGGAAAAAAAACAACAAAAATGCAATCCAGGCCAAGCACAGTTATAAGATAATGAGCAAAGGATTTTTCACCAATGGCTTGCTAGACATGGAGTGTCTTCTCTGTGTAAAGGGCGCATTGCTAGTTTGATAAAGAGGTTGGGCAAATAAATTCCCTCTCAGGGCAGACTCAAGCAATCACCCTCCCTCTGGGTTCTAATAGTACTAAAATATTATTAATACGATACTTTGAATTTTGAGCTTGGATGTGTGAATTTGTATTTCAGCACCTCGAGTAACACAGTTAGAAGGAAATTCATGTGAAATTTTGTGGGAGACGGTACCACCAATGAAAGGCGACCCTGTCAGCTACATCCTGCAGGTATTGGTTGGAAGAGAATCTGAGTACAAACAGGTAAGAACCGGTGCGCGTGCGTGTGTGCGGCCCATCAGGGTCAGGCCGCTCCTGGTCTCTGCCTGTTGCCGTGAATGATTCAGTGACCAGTGAGCTACATTTTTCTTAAAATCAGGCATAGAAATTGCCTCACATGTACCCATCACCTAGTTCTTTAGGGTATACTAGCCCTAACTTACATTTTATTTTGTATGTGGTGGTACCCTTAAATTTTCCGTTCTCAAGCATAATCTTGTAAAGAGTTTTAAGTTCTGTATTTGATATTGGCAGTGATGTTCTTAAGTATCAAAGTCTGTATGTAATTGAAAACTAAAGTAGTTTTACTCTAGAGGGAAGTAGTGTCAGCCTAACTAAGGAAGCCCATGTCCTGTCTGCCTTCTTTATAAAAGTTATAATTGAAGGATAAGAAAGATGACCTGTCAATCAGTCTGTGACTCAGGAGCTCTGGTCATTGCTTATTACCCTTTAATTGCATAGGACTCACCTGAGAATCTGTTAAAGTGCAGATTCTGACTCAGTAGGTCTGGGGCCGAGGTTCAGGCTCCCAGCTGACGTTGACATTGCTGGTCTGTAGACTAATTTGAGTAGCAAAGCTGTACAGATCACAGGATAAACTCATCCAGAGAGAGAATGTGATTGGAGTATAGCCAGATAAAGAATTTGGTTTTTTTATTATTATTATTATTCACACCCTTTTTGATCCTAATTCTTAGGCAGCCCCACATTATCCTGTCATCGGCTATGGAAGATTCACATACTCTAGGTTTCCGCAACATTCCCGGGACTTACTATGTGGAATCAGGATATAATACTGTTACTCCATTAGGAAAGCAGAGACCCATTCTTTACCAACACTTTTACTGTGGTGGGTGGGGGAGATGTTTATATCAACTCAGGAAGTCAAAGATAAATGCCACCTGCCTTCTGAAACATTAGTATAATTGTAAAGACATCTTTATGCAACTGTTGAGACTCTGGACACACAAAACAAGTATAAAATAATTTGATTCAGAGTTTTTTCTAATTTGCTGGTTGATGTTCCTTATATAAGTAATAAAGAATTTATTTAAATAAAAATGTTTAAATTGGGGGAGGGTATATATAGCTCAAGTGATAGAGTGCATGCTTAGGATACATGAGGTCCTGGATTCAATTACTAGGACCTCCATTAAAATAAATAAACCTAATTACCTCCCCCCCAATTTTTAATTTATATAAAGAATCAAAGAAAATTTTGGTAACTTTTACAGCACTTTTATCTGACACTTCATATTAACAAAGAATGAATTGCTTTAAGCACATTTTGCACAAACTTTAAATATGACAGCCACCAGTGTTGATTAATATCAGTGGGTGATTATTACCAAAGTTTCCATCATTCCTCTTCAGTAAGAGCAAAAACACTATTGTTTCCTTTCATTTTACAGTCTCATTTTATACAGTATATTTCATTTCACAGTAAGTGATTTTATGTGTGTAACCGTTTCATCTTAGTGCACAGATATGATTGGTTTCAGAGTCTCAGCTCACTCAGAGAGCAGAGGTTCAGTCATCTTTAACGCTAGTAGCGCTGTCCTGTCCCACAGCAATGTAAAAATGCTTAAAGGATGAAATGCTACCAAATTTCACAACACATCATTTGACACTTAACAATATTCACTTCCCAACAGTACATTCCTTGCATGCTCGTCATTTT